CCTTTCAAATCATTCTTATTACAGGGCACACCGGTATTAATTGTGATGATATTTTGTGTTTTCTGTTTACAGTGGGGCTGGTTATTCCCATCATTAGAATGGTGTGTACTCACTTGTACCCACAGTCAACATGGAGCAGACTGGAAAAATGCATTTCAAAATTCACCATGGCTTATAAAAAAATTAATGGCTAAAAGTAAGTCTATTTCTTCTACTTATTTACATTACTTATTTGAGTCTACTAAAAGACCTGAATGACATAGTCAGTCAATTCAATCTTCCACTTTAGTCTGTGGTACTCAAAGTTTTTGGCAATGCTACCTGTAGGTAGGATTTGAGCTATGAGTTTGATGCAACAACCACTACACTCATGTATGCAACTTTGGAGAAATTTTTTTCACATAAAAAAGGCAGGAGAGACAGTGATTTTTAATGACCGGAACTGCTGCTGATGGTATAGACAGACTGGATGGGAATATTTTTCTTAAAATTCTTTTATTCATGGGAGTGGACGTCAAGGCGTTTTGAGAGCAACAATCAAAAACTGTACTTTGTGATAGTCGTTGAGACTCTCCTGAAGAGTGTAACAAGACTACCCCTACATGTGCAACATATATAAATTTGGTTGTTCAGGATTGTCTGGTAGTTGAGCTTGCGCTGTTTTTCTGACTTTAGATGTTTTCACTGGCTCTCTGGCTGGTGTTCCACAGCAGCTTCTGCAAAGCCCATAGAAATACATGGAACAGTACTGTGAGTCTTAGCAATGTAGAGTGTTCTGTGGATAGCTCTGCCCCTGAGAATAGGTATTCAATCTTGGTCCTGCCTGTGTAACCAATATATAAGCAAAGTGGAGGGAAAATATGAAAGATAAGTCTAGCTTAGTCTACTATAGAAAGTTAAAGAACAATATAAAGGACTACAAACCATATTTGGAATCAGTGACAGATTTTAAGAAGGTCCAACTGAAATTTAAGACAAGGTACGTCCTACAGACATGGTTTGGAATATGAAAAAAGGAAATGGAAAAATAATACTTTTGAAGACATTTTTAAGAACATTTTGTTATTTTGTTGCAAATGTTTTGCAATGCAGAGAGATAAGCGAATGAGGGGGATCAAGGATATTTTACTGAATAGGGGAGAAAACAATATTTACACAGATTTTGAACAATCTAATATGCACCTTCCCTACATTTGAGTTTTTGAGTATGCCAGACAACAGTTTCCGACTGTTAGGGACCATCAGTCATTAAAACTGAAGCATGGGATACATAAGTTTGTGGAACTGGTTCTGACCTCCACCTTTACCCCAATAGTTTCCAAAATAGGAAATTTGGAAAATTTAAAACCCTTATACTAATTCAGTTTCCTGTCCCTATTGTGAACATTTCCCATTTTGTATGATGCCTGTTTTTTGTAATGCATATATATTATTTTCATGTTATTTTCGTAGTTTATTATTGTAATTTTTACTGCTCCTCAAATGTTACGTTTCACGTCAAACTTTTGCGAGCACCACCATCTTGATTATTGTGTTTTTACATGTTCCTATTCTAAACTATGTTCCAATTTGTGTAAAAGTGAAGGCATTTATAAATGGTTCACTAAAACTCTTCCCATGTTGCTTCCTCACAACGATATTTAAACATAATGGTACATATTCATAGAACTCATCTGCCATATCTTTATCATCCCCTGATCTTAATTAACACATTACGTTTGTTGTATTTCACAGACTTCAAGACTCCGATTGGAGTGTTTGCAATGTTGGGGTTACATGTCCTTCCGATATGGTTGTATGCACATTATACTAAAGTATTAACAGTTAGTCTGCATCTATCTCCATGGTTACAGTATACTGTAATTGCTTTACTGAGCATTGGGAGAGCAATGTGTCTGTTCGCGGAGGTAAGTGCTGTTACGGCCGAGTTTAAATCTAAAGTCGGATGACGGACAGACTCGAATCTTTCAAGGGATCGCAACAAGAAACGACACAAACATGTTATCAAATTCAATTATTGTATTCGTACAAATAAATATAGTGTGCTCACGAGGTATCAACTGACATGAACTCAAATGAACAATAAATTAAGCATAATACAATGACAGTGTGGTAAGACACACAAAATTAGATAACACAAAGAAAATAAATTTTGGAGTCTCAAAATGAAATAAAATAAAATACCTAGTTCCAAAAATCAATCTTTCCAACGCACACAACACACGGCCTAATCTTCGACTGGCTTCGGCATGAACGATTGCGACGTGCTTGTTGAACGGCAGTGAGTTCTTGTTAATCTTTCTGAGAGAGAGATGATGCAGTTAAATATCAAATTACACAAAATGTGTCACAGTGCGAATCAGCCATGACTGTCAAATTACACAAAATGCGCCACAGTGCGAATCAGCCATGACTATCATATACTCCTTGTAAGAAGAGATACAAATGTTATGTTAGAACGAAAGCTGTAAGCCGTCATCAATAGTTTTTGCTTGTTCTGATTTGTCTTTCATATTTTTTTAGGTTTGGTGTATTTGGATACATATCAAACATCTTGTTGATGAAAAGGGTGCACAAGATAATGTTATTACAAAGGAAAGTAAATGAATGAACATGGATCAGCAAGAATAAATAACAAAATATGTGATAAATATTCAGTTAATATTACATACCAGGGTAGTAATATTAATATGTGTGAACACAACTATGGGAAGGACTACAGTTTCAAGAAAACAAGAACAAAATTAAAAAAAATAATAAAAAGACATTGGTAAATACATGTCCACTAAAAATTAACAAATGCAATGAGAGTTGTGTACATTGGAGAGCAGTGTTAATTGTTAGTTGGTAGATGCATGTCTTGCACTGAAACTATTTTGTATTAATTTTAAATAGTGAATTTGGTTGTTCATTAGTATTTTGGATTTATTCTTGTCTGGCAAGTTTCCAAAATTGGTAATGGGTTTTGATGCTTAGAAATAGAAGGCATCTTTGTTGATTGTTTGAAATTTGAAGCATGTTTATGGCAAATTCTGAACTCAATATAATAGATATAATTAAACTGACACCATGATCTTTTGGGACTATATATCTAATTTGGTTTGTGATTAGCCAAACCAGGCCTGTCAGAGGAGGTGGGCATAGTTAGCACCAGGGTTTGAAATTCATTTTTCACATATTATCCAAATTTTGTATTTCACTGAGATTTATCAATAAAAAAAATACTTTCTATGATATTACTGAACATACCGGTATTTGGTATATACCAGTAAACCACACCGATTTATTGGTAATCAGCATAAACCATTTAATCAACACAGTTGTCTGTAGTTTCCACAGTAAATAACATCACTAATTTTGAACCATGCAGGCAGTGTATACCTGCTAGCTACAATGACACTTAATATCTATGTGTTTTACATTGACCAATCGTCAAATAAAGCTACAATGACACTTAATATCTATGTGTTTTATAATGGCCAATCGTCAAATAAAGCTACAATGACACTTATCTATGTGTTTTATATTGGCCAATCGTCAAATAAAGCTACAATGACACTTACCTATGTGTTTTATATTGGCCAATCGTCAAATAAAGCTACAATGACACTTATCTATGTGTTTTATATTGGCCAATCACCAAATAAAGCTACAATGACACTTATCTATGTGTTTTATATTGGCCAATCGCCAAATAAAGCTACAATGACACTTATCTATGTGTTTTATATTGGCCAATCGTCAAATAAAGTTACAATGACACTTATCTATGTGTTTTATATTGGCCAATCGTCAAATAAAGCTACAATGACACTTAATATCTATGTGTTTTATATTGGCCAATCGTCAAATAAAATTACAATGACACTTATCTATGTGTTTTATATTGGTCAATCATCAAATAAAGCTACAATGACACTTATATATGTGTTTCATATTGGCCAATCGTCAAATAAAGCTACAATGACACTTATCTACGCGTTTTATATTGGCCAATCGTCAAATAAAGCTACAATGACATTTATCTGTGTTTTATATTGGCCAATCGTCAAATAAAGCTACAATGACACTTACCTATGTGTTTCATATTGGCCAATCGTCAAATAAAGCTACAATGACACTTATCTGCGCGTCTTTTTCTTTTGTAAAATTTATTTTAGACTAAACGTTTGCAGTTTGACATTGCTTATATATTTATAAACCACCTCTACTCTGCCCACCCTTGCATTGAAATCACCACCCCAAATACAGATATATTTGTGTCATATGTAAGGCATCATCCAAAGTGTTGTAAAACCTATCCTTAGCATTTGGATGATTCCACAAATCTGGCAAGTAACATTTTGTCAAATATGCATTCATACAGCATCAGAACACTGGTCTTGCTTCAAGAGTACACTCGACAGTATGGTTGCGAGTATTTCCTTGTATGGCAACACTGAGGAATATGCAAGGGTTATAATAGTAATGAGCATCTCTATATATGTAAATATAGAACTCAGTAATTGAATACCAAACAAAATCAATTATTTTCCACCATACTGTAATATTTATTTCAATTCACATAATACAAAACTCTAGAGCTATAACCCACCAAATAAAGTTATGACAAATTATAAATCCTGTCAGTGAGGATTAAAATATTTCCATAATATGAAATAATGTATAAGCCATACATGCCATAAAGATTAACTATCTCACATAGTAGATTTAGGAAACTAATTCTGGACAGTCATGAAGGATTCAGTACATGAATTATTTTGACCAATCAACCATGTTTGATTTGGTACAGAATTTATTTATGTCCTTGACTTGTAACCACCGTCCCTCGAGGGACGGTGTTGTAACCAATGGCACAAAGATGTACTTTAATTTTCTATTCACATGCTATCATGATGAATTCCTTTGTTGTTCAACTATTGTGCTTCCATACTCAATAACAATGACTAACAGCACTTTGAAGATTCTATATCCAAAGCTTGAACTTCCACAGTTGAGAGGGGGCAGCAATTTCAAGGACAAGCAGCCTGTCGGCTGAGATAGCTCCGCTGTTAGCAATGCACATTTCAATTAAAGAACAGAAGATATCATTAGAAAATGAACAATATGTATAGTATCAAAGCAACGGGACTTTCTGTTTTCAACAAGAATTCAAAAATATCACTTTTCACTAAAAATGACAAAAATAATCATCAAAATTAGATAATTGAAAATATCACCACGAAATTAACAAATCTGAAAGAGGTCCACATGTAGTACCTATATAAGTAATATCAAAGTAATTGGCCTTGCGGTTTTTAACAAGAAGTCGAAAATATCACTTTTCACCAAAAATGACAAAAATATTCACCAAAATTGGAGAATTGAAGATATCATCATGAAATGAACAAATCTATGAGAGGTCTACCCAAGGTACATATAAACCAAGTATCAAAGCATTCAGGCTTGTAGTTTTCAAGAAGAAGTTGAAAATGTAAAATATTGACACGGACGACGACGGACACTGACGACGGACAATCACCCAAATGATAAGCTCCGCTCGACAAAGTCAACAGCGGAGCTAAAAAAGTGATAAAATTACCTTAGCATATAGTAATAGTTTGGCAAAAAATCTATAGATTTTGAAGGGATGCAAGAACACATTTTTGAGCCATTAGAGTCAACATGTCCACATAGTTCAAGCTCTGCATATCACATTATTAAAAACCTAAACAAGCAACCAATAAACCAGTTTTGAGTATTACTGTTGCCATAGAAACTTGAGTACCGGTACTCTGGTGTGTAAAAAACATTTTCATCTACGCAGGTCAGGGTTGGGTGTGTGTTGTTTTCGCCACAAAAACATTTAATATCAAAATGGCAGGAACCAGGAAAACTAGCAAATAAATTCTGTGACCTGGAAATCAACCCCCCCCCCCCATTTACGCATGACTGATGACACCAACTCAAAACTCGTCTACTACGTGGTGTCAAATCACGCTGTCTTGGCAGCATCTGGTAAAATACTTGTTATGACTCCGGTACCAATAGTAATTTTGCCATCACGGAGTGTAAATCTTTGACCAATCTCAGTCACCATGGGTTTCAATAGACTCATGTTAACTTTAATATCTTCACCTGGAAAATAAGAAACAACAGGATTTGTTAATAATCCAACAATAAATCAAACAAGCAGCCTATCGGCTGAGATAGCTCCGCTGTTAGCAATGCACATTTCAATTGAAGAACTGAAGACATCATTAGAAAATGAACAATATGAATAGTATCAAAGCAATCGGACTTACAGTTTTCAACAAGAAGTCGAAAATATCACTTTCTACCAAAAATGACAAAAATATTCACCAAAATTAGAGAATTGAAGATATCATTACAAAATGAACAAATCTGAGAGAGGTCCACATGTAGTGA